TAAATGATAAAATACTAGTAATACCTCTCTTGTTTTGAGTAAGACGTAATTAAAGGAATAAAAAGGGTAAGTAATACTGTGAGATCATATGAGAAAATGAGATTATTGTATTATACTTTATTAGAATGAGAGAAAAGTGTTTAAAAATTATTTTAATATCTTATTCTAATATCCTATTATTCCATGATTTTGAATGAAATTAATTGGATTAGTCAACTTATCTTGTTCAATTCAATGGCAAAAACATAGAATCACTCGAGATTACAAAAAAAATCTATATTACAAGAGGTTCTCATGTTGACTAATCCAATCTCATCTCTGTAATTCCTTAATACAAATATCATATAAGTGTTTCATGTGATATTTTAAATAAAGTAAAATATTTATATTTGACATAATAACAAAATATCTTAAAAATATTATATTTCTCTGGCAACTAATCATAAAGGGGATAAGAGTTAAAGATGGTGGTGGGGTTAGAGGCCGGGGAGGCTAGGAGGGGAACGTAGCTGTGGTCGTGTGGGTGTTGAAGAAAAATGAGAAAAGGGAAGGGGGTCGAGAGTTGGTTTATTGACTTGAGATAATATTGTGATAGAAGGGTAAAATAGTTGGCTCAAATAATATTATAATAGAAGGATCAAATTGATATTTCATTTAAAAATTTAGTGACATTAGTAAATTCAATCGTTTTCACTAGTGACAGCCTTACAGTAATTACATCAAAATTATAAAATTAATTGTAATTTTTTCAAATTTCAAGATAAAAAAAAAAAAAAAAAGATAATTAGTTAATGTTAACAAGCGTTCCTTGAACCACCAGGTAAGGTATATATATTAATTTGCCTGGATTTTGATAAAATTTTAATTTTAGTTACTCATCAAATTGATAAGAACTAATGCTATAGAATAATGCTATATGTACCAATTAGTACATTAATTAGTGTACCAATTGAGGATGTGACATAATTTAAGATATTTTTTATATTTATAATTTGTATAATGAGTGAAGTTAATAATAATGTCATAATTAGTATTGGTACACTAATTAATATACTAATTGATACGTGTAGCACCATCCAGTGATAAGTTTATATTTTGAGTCACTCATTAGTTGATGCATTTATAATTGACTATTTGAACGACTTTTGAATTTGTATACAACTAATTTATAATTAATATTTCAACTATCAAAAATGAGTGTTTTTTTTCTCAGTTTTAGGGGTGGGTGCGGGTCAGTTGTGGCTACGAAATCTGTAATCTGCCATATGTCCGTCAGATTGGTGGATTGGAGAAAATCAATCCGCATCCATCCCCCAATCCGGCAGATATGGATTGAGCAGATTGACGGATAAATACAAATCGATTTGGCAGTTTAAAATTTTATAAATTTTTAACATAATTCAACTTGTGCACTTTCTAAAAAAAAAAAGTATTATAGTTAATAACTTGAAAAAGTATTACAATCACTATATACCTTATCTACATATTACAATCACAATATGTTTCATCCACATAAAGTATTACACCATGTGATTATTAAACTATAAAAACAATTCAAACTACTAAAACCATGAGCATAACAGTAGTAGAGATTATATGCCTGTGTATTGTTACATTTATATCTGTTTTTTAAAACAAAAACCAACCAGTATATATCATTTTTTTTATTTATTATTTTTAGAGTTAGATTTAAAAGCCAAAAAATATAGATAAATAATACATTTATTTTTTTCAATTCAAAAAATATCTTCAAGTTGAAATTTTTTTTTAACAAAATATTTAAACTCCTTTTCAATTGAAAACAAAAACAGAATATCTAACAAATCAAAAACATAGCCCTACAAATTATTAGGGGTGCTCACAGTTTGGCGGTTCGGTTGCGGCCAAAGAAGCCTCAAATCCGTCATCCGTCCAAAACTAGGCAGATTGAAAAAAATCAATCTGCAATCGTCTGCTCGCCGTCATGCATCCGTCCAAAATACGGCGGATCGGTTCAATTTGGACGGTTTGGACGGATTGATATATCCGCTGCTCACCCCTACTCAGTTTATTTATGTTTTTTTTTTTCCTTTTCTAATAAGTCGTAAGTAAAAGTTGTATCAAATAATTTGACACAAATTCTAGAATAAAAAATAAAAATAAAAATAAAAAATAAAAAAACTATAAGTTGCACTAAATAGCCCTATTATATTGATCATGTTTGGTACAACTTATTCAAATTTAAAAGTTAATAATCAGAAAGTAAAAGTTAAAAACATTTCTCTCATAATTTATAAATAATTAGTTTTTTTTAACTTATTTAAATTATTTTTACATGATAAACTGTAAGCAAAAATTATACTAAACAGACTAATACAGACTCTTAAATTAAACTATCAACAGGTCATTTAAGTTGTAACAAACACCCTCACTATTTCTTATATTACTATCTTTGTCCAAATTGTTTGTTTGGCATGAAAAACAAGAATTTAAAAATAATATATTATTGTGTTAAATTTTTTTAAAAACTTTTAAGATAAAAATATGTCATTTTACGTTTAAAAAAAAAACAACTCAGTCCACTAATGAAATCAGGATTTGGAATGTTTTGGTTTGGAATTTTTAAAAATAAATTTTTAATTCATATTTTTATATTTTTAATAATTCTTTAAAAGTATTTTAATTATTTTTTTTTTACTTTTTAGATTCATTTCTTACCATATATTTAAGAAGTATAAAATTTTTAGAAAAATCTTTAAAATTTTTATTAAATACAACAAAATACGAAAAATTATTCATTTTTATATTTGGTAAATTTTGTAAAAAGAAAAATTCACAAATATTATACTTTTTAAATATAGATTAAATGTATTTTAAAAATAAAAAATTACATAAAATATCAAAAAAATAACTAAAAAATAAAAATAACTATAATAACCAAACGAGTATATTTTTTTGAGTAAGACTAGAAATCTCACAAGATTTATCAAATATCTCATATGAATATAGAATTCATATAAAATTTACATAATGTGAGTTCCACCTTATATAAAATATTTAGTAAAAACTTTAATAATTTTTTTTGAAATGTATAGTATATTTTTTATAATTTTTTAAGCTTTAAACCATGCTACTCGTGGGGCTTATGGCCATATGGGGGAAGACAGAATGAGACTTCGTCAGAACGCCGATGGGCCCCAATTTTACAATAAAGTCCCCATTCTTGCAAACCATATTTTATGCTAGTCAAGCCAAACCTTCCCATTCCACCCACCTACCCTCCTCCCTCCTCCCTCCCCCAACCCTTCCGCTCTCTCTCTCTCTCTCTCTCTCAAAGAGTCGTAGAAGTACCGATACAGATTGATTTTATTGAGGAAAAATGTTTGGTCGGTCAAATTTGTATGGTCTATCAAATTTGTATGGTCTAAATAAGTTAAATGTATTAAAATAATATTATTTTATTATTAAAATGATGTCATTTTTAAATATTCGAGTCATTTAAATCATAAAATTTAAATTACCAAACATTGTTATTAGGAGTGGGCGTGGGTCGGTTGCGGTCACGAAACTTTCAATTCGCCATCCGTCCGCTAGATTGGTGGATTGGAAAAAATCAATCCGCATCCGTCCGCCAATCCGACGGATGTAGATTGAGCGGATTGGCGGATGGATACGAATCGGTTTGGCGGTTTGAAATTTTATAAATTTTCAACATAGTTCAACTGGTGCACTTTTTCAAAAAAAAAAAAAAAGAAAATATTATAGTCAATAACTTAAAAAATATTACAATTACTGCATGACTCATCCAAAGAAAGAAAGTTTGAAACTTTAGAATATCACAATCGCTGCATGTCTCATCTATATATTACAATTACAGCATACCTTATCCACATAAAGTATTATAATATGTGGTTCTTAAAATATAAAAACAATTCAAACTACCAAAACCATGAACAGAGCAGTAGTAGAGATTGTATGTCTCTATATTGTTACATTTATATATGTTTTTAAAAATAAAAATCAACCAACATTATCATATTTTCTATTTATTACTTTTAGAATTAGATTTAAAAACCAAAAAATATAAATAAATAATACGTTTATTTTTTTTCAATTCAAAAAATATATTCAAGTTGAAAATTTTTTTTTCAACAGAATATTTAAACTCTTTTTTAATTGAAAATACAAACAAAATATTTAAACAAATTAAAAACACAAAATCTTATAAATTATTAAAGGTGTTTGCGGTTTGGCGGTTCAGTTGCTGCCAAAGGAATCTCAAATCCGCCATCCGTCCGCCGAATTGGCGGAATGGAGAAAATCAATCCACAACCGTCCGCTCATCATCACGCATCCGTCCAAAATGTGACGGATCGGTTCAATTCGATCAGTTTTGACAGATCGATATATCCGCTGTTCACCCCTAATTATTATTTATATAAAGGGGTAATTAATAACTCAAATACGAATTTGTTCAAATTGCTAAAATTTTGACTTGCTAACTATTTGATTGGTTGTATGATAAAAGGGTGACAATTAGGCTCACAGTTACACTATAAGGCCCCGTTTGTTTGGGATTATAAGAAGAGGATTGAGACTACTAATACCTTGATATTATTAATACTTTGTTTGTTTTGAGAGGAAGTGGAGATGGTATTAGAAAAATAGTGAGGGAATTATAAATTTTTTTATTTTTTTTATATTAGAAATTTTTTTAAAATATTAAAGTTTAATTTTTATATTTTTTTATTTATTTTATTATTTTATATAAAAATAATTCAACAATTTCTCACTATTAATCTCCTACTAACAATCCCTTCACTATCAATCCTTTCAATTCCATTTCTAAAAACAAACTAGGCCTAATGGACCAATGTTACACCAATTATTTACATAATCGTCCAGACAATTAATCCACAAGTACAAATTCTGATTTTTGGACCGACTCAAATACAAATTACAAATCATTTTTCCTTATATAAATTGAAACCAGATCAGTGTTCGTGAGCTAACTACCATGTTCCACGTGTTTCTCTCTCTTCCCAACCTCCCTGCTCACCCCTCTCCTCCTCTTGGTAGCTCTCTCTCCCGCCCTTCCAATCTCTCTCTCTCTCTCTCTCTCTCTATATATATATATATATATAGATATATAAAACACCCCCTCTCTACCCTTCCGATACTACCGCATTTGTCCCTCACCCGACTCGTCTCAACCAACGAGCTCGTCTTTCTCTCACTCACACAGGTACATAGCTACACATATTACATCCCCATTTCTCTCTCTCTATATATATATGTCAATTTCTCTGTCGAGTCGTAATTCTTGAAATTGAGATCTGGGTTTTTCGTTTTTCTTACGTGGGTCGATGATTCGAGCTCGTTTTTGAATCTCTGTTTCGCTAATCCGATTTTTTTTGGATACATTTTAGAGGGTATGCTTTGATTTGTTGTAATTTCAGTTACGTTTTAGGGTCAGATCTACTCTTACCCGTCGGTTAAAGAAAGTGACTTTTTGTTACTTACACTGTATACATTCTTGGTTTTGTTGATCCACAAAATCTACTGCGTTATTGCTTTCAGCTTTACAATTGTTCATTTGTTTTGGTCGAATTAGTTGGGATTGATAATGCTGTAGATCTACTGTGTTGAATTTTCGATAAATGAGTTAGATTTTTGTGGTTCTATTTAGGAATTGTTACAATTGACTTGACCAATCACGAACCCTTTAGTAGATTTGAACAACCCACAAAAGTAATAACCTTTTTGTTTTCATTCTTTGCACTACTTGCCTTGAAATTGTTTCAAAATGATATCTTTAGTGAACAATTCAATTTTTTATTGACAACCAAATTATCAAGTTTGCGTGCCAGAAATATTTAAAATCTGTGTACTGCTTCCATCTGATTATAATCTTTGAACTGTTAGTTTATTTGTGCAGTACATGGTGTATCTATAGTAACAAGTTTACTCTGTTTTTCTGTAAGATCTTTTTTCTTTGAAGAAAAAAAAATCCTTGTTATTAGTGCTTTTGGGTTATTGTTGTTGTAACTTCCACCATTGCTTGCAGTATGAGAAAAATTGTGTGTTAACATTTTATGTATGCACAGGTCTCTTGAAGTTGCACCATGGCTTCTGGACAACTTTTCTCGCGGACTACTCAAGCATTATTCTACAATTACAAACAACTACCCATCCAACGGATGCTCGATTTTGACTTCCTTTGCGGTGTGTATGACTTCCCATGTTTTTGTTCATGAGAGTAGTCACTGTATCCTAATTCAAGCACTCAAAAATATATTTTTGCTATTGTTGAATTGGTTTTGCATTGTTGATTCCAGGGAGAGAAACACCTTCAGTTGCTGGAATTATCAATCCTGGTTCTGAGGGCTTTCAGAAACTCTTTTTTGGTCAGGAGGAAATTGCTATCCCAGTACATTCAGCGTGTGTACTTTTCTTTTTCTATGTTTTCTGTTTATATTCACATTTCCATGATTTGAATCTGAAGGGGTACTTAAACATTCTCCTAAGAAAGCTAAAATGGGATTTACTTTTTGTTCAGCCAAATTGATTAGCATGCATGTCATCATTATATGCCGAGAGTTTGTTAAAAATTTTATTTTTATTATAGTTCTATCTATCCAAAGATAAATTGAGTTTGATTAGATCATAGCTATAATTAGCATTTGTACTTAAATGATTAATCATTGGAGACAGTTTAATTATTAATGTTCACATGTCGAAAAGAAGTAAACATCATAATCGTAAATTTGGTTTTGGTTAATTGTTCTATTATGCTTCAAACCTCTTTATATTAAGATTAACAGAAATCTTTGGTTACCAACTGGACATTGCGTACAAGTGACCCCGTAACCACGTCCTTGTACAGATTTGTTGTTTAACGCACACTAAATTCTATATGGATACCGGAATAATACATTGCTAAAATCTTACACAGTTCACGGACCTAGTTAAGTACCATCAACATATGAAGCTGATTTAACCCAAAAAATGACATATAAAATCGTACCCAGATGTGGATCCAACTCATAAAAATGATGTATTGTTGTTACTACAGCTAACATATTTACAATGTTCTGTTATTCGTGAAACGGGCTTTGACTTGGATTTTTTTGAGGTTAAGATATTCTTACCTTCATGTGTACTTTTTTTCCCCCAGCATCGATGCCGCTTCCGCAGCACATCCTACTGCTGATGTTTTCATAAACTTCGCATCATTCAGAAGGTCAGTCCATGTTTATCTTACAACATGTGGTTCTCAGAAGCACTTGTATCCACACTAATATATTTGGTATTCTTGCAGTGCTGCTGCTTCTTCTATGGCTGCTCTCAAACAGCCCACCATTAGAGTTGTGGCTATAATAGCTGAAGGTGTTCCCGAGTCAGACGCCAAGCAGTTGATTGCTTATGCAAGGGCAAATAATAAGGTAAAAAGGAATGATGCAAACTCTTTCAAAATTTTGGCATTAATTTTTAGTGAAATACAAGTTTGAAGCATGACTTACTAATTTGAGATGGGAATGACCATTCTCTTAATTCATACATGGAAGACTCAATTGTTACTTTTGTTTTTGCACTTGATCTTACTTCAGGAGTCTTCACTATGCCTTGTTCAACTTTTTATCTGACATTATGGCTGATGTTATTTGCAGGTTGTTATTGGGCCAGCAACTGTTGGAGGCATTCAAGCTGGTGCTTTTAAGATTGGTGACACTGCCGGAACTATTGATAATATCATTCAATGCAAGCTGTACAGGCCTGGATCTGTTGGTTTTGTCTCTAAATCTGTGCGTAAAAATTCCTCAGCTTGCCTCTTTTCCTTTTCTAAGCATACATAATTTATATATAATATTTCTAATGTAGAATATACTCTACTAATCCTCTGTATTAGGGGTGTACACGGTCCGGATTGGTTTGGTTTTGAGAAAATCCAAGAACCGAACCGATTCTAACGATTCTGTGATTTTGAGAACCAGACCAGACCATTACACTTGTAAAACCGGACCAGAACCAAACCGAAATAACGGTTCGGTTTCGGTTTAGTTCACAGTTCCAAAAATTTCTATTTACAAGAATAAATTGTTAATATTAGCAAAATAATTACTCAAACTAATTACATTTAACTCATGATAAAAGCTAATAATATTAAGGCATCACTCAACATTATATATCTATATCATCCTAATATCATTAAAATTATAAAAAACCAATTAATAAAAATAAAACTTTATATTGTATATCTATATATATCTTTTAAAATTCGGTTCGGTTCGAACCGTGGTTTTTTCATAAAATCCATTAACCGAACCGTTTTTACGGTTATCACATTTCTTAAACCAAAACCAAACCGGTTCTTAATAGAACCGAACCAAACCGTATGATTTGGTCTGGTTCAGTCCGGATTACCCATTTGAATGGATTTTTGAATAGCCCTACTCTGTATTCAACACTCAAAATAATTTACTCCTAATTTTTTTTTTCCTTTTTTTCTTTTGTAATATAGATATGTCAGATTGTGCTGTGTTTCTCTTTATAAGAAACAGGTTACTATCAATTGTAAAAAGGAAAAGAAAAGAAAAAGTGTTGCACAAATTACTATCATGACTTGCATTTGTGTGTTAATTAGCTGCATGATGCAATATAAATACTCTAGTTTTAGTTTTTACCTTCCCGATTTCATATACATCGTAAAGTTGATTACTTATGTGTATATTAATCAAGCTTTAGGATATATGATCAAAGATTACTGCCCTTGGCTGGAGTGTCATGTTGCAGATTGGCAATCCAAGCTGCTTGTCAATGGTTGCGTTAATAATGTGTTCTCTGTTCACTTACAGGGTGGCATGTCTAATGAAATGTACAATACGATTGCCCGCGTGACCGATGGAATTTATGAAGGTATCTGTAAATTCTGGCTGTTCTGTTTAGTCCCTTCTCTCCTGGATGGCTTATTATCATGCACATTTAGGTTGAGATGAAATTTTGATTGTTATTTTGCAATTTTTTTAGGTATTGCAATTGGAGGAGATGTGTTCCCGGGCTCTACACTTTCTGATCATGTTCTGCGTTTTAACAACATCCCGCAGGTACACCATTGTTTGTACTTACTCTCCTTGACTAAAATCTGGCACAGTAAGAGAATACATTTTGCGTGTCCAGCTTTTCTTGTTATTTATAAACCTATCTGCATAATATGTATTAATATGTTGTATCAACTTCATCGTGTATGCTTTAACTGAACCATGCATTATTTAATGGTATCTGAGTGAAAACTATACAGATTGTTGACCATACTCAGTTGTCATAGAAGCATGAGAGTTATAACATTGGACTATTGCAAATCCATACGAAGTTTCTATGTTGCATAATTGCCATACTGAGAATAAGAGTGCAGTTGACCAAGATACTTGTAGAAGTTTTTATTTGTACACTAATTTTTGGGTTTTCAATTGTTTAATCTCAAACTCAAAGATTACACAGAAGCACGACCCTAGTTTATGATTTCGAGCTTGGTTCAACTTTGATGAGTACAACAGCATCTCCTTAAGCATTTCAAAAATAGCTTTAGATCGTATCAAGTCATATTGAGAAATATAGTTATTAGTTCCTTACTTCTGTGGTACTTTTCCCTGTACTTTGTTCCCTATCCTTTTCTTTCTCTAATCTGTTTTTCTGATTAACTCAGATCAAAATGATAGTTGTACTCGGGGAACTTGGTGGGCGTGATGAGTATTCCCTAGTGGAAGCCCTTAAACAGGGGAAAATTAATAAACCTCTGGTTGCTTGGGTCAGTGGAACTTGTGCACGGCTCTTCAAGTCAGAAGTACAATTTGGTCATGCTGTGAGTTACTGACTGCCTTTGCTTGGATTGAGTGTTTCTTTTTTCTTGCCCCCCCTGTCTGAAAGAAAAACCCTCCTCTTTTTCTCTTGTTTTTTAGGGTAATCTTCTTGGTGGCTTATTTTAGGCTACAACCCTAACTTTTTCTTGATGTTGTCTAAATCAGGGAGCCAAGAGTGGCGGTGAAATGGAGTCTGCACAAGGAAAAAATCAAGCACTTCGGGATGCTGGAGCTATTGTCCCCACTTCATATGAGGGACTTGAAGCTGTGATTAAAGAAACATTTGAGGAGCTGGTATTTTTTTGTCACCTCATTACTCCATTACATGGGCATTCTCTCCACCACTTTTACTAATTATTTTTGCTTACGTTTTGCTCAGGTTGCAGAGGGAAAGACTTCTCCTGTTAAGGAAGCTAAGCCTCCACAAATCCCTGAGGATCTTAACACTGCCATTAAGAGTGGGAAAGTTCGGGCTCCAACTCATATTATTTCCACCATATCTGATGACAGAGGTATAATTTGGACCTATATATATTTTTAATCTTACTCCACCTGTGTCGTGCATATTGTTTTATCTCTTACATTGTTGGTCTGAAGTCTGGAGAAAGGAGGGTTGTGGTATTTTGACAACAAACAAAAAAACTTAACACACCTTTGTGGTCATAGATCCTAAGAGTGTTAAGTGACACCAACTGACGATAAAATGAGGGAAAATTACTTGAGATAGTATGATCATGTGTGATGTAGACCAATTAATGGCCTACAAGGAAGAATGCTTTAATCTTCATGGAGGGTAGTAAAAGAAATATAGGAAGGTCAAAGAGAACATGAGTTGAGGCGATAATAAATGACACGATTACATTAAACCTAACCAAAGACACAACTTCAAATAGAATCAGTTGGAGATGGATCCTTGCAATCGACCCCAAGTAATTGGGAAAAAGGCTTGTTGAGTAGATAAATTTTTAATCTGGGATGCTAGGAGGTCGGGCTTGGTGCAGTCCTGACCTCCAGCTTGAAACTCTGCTAAATTTGTCATTTATCTCTATTTGCAGGTGAAGAACCATGCTATGCCGGTGTCCCAATGTCTTCCATTGTTGAACAGGGTTATGGTGTCGGTGATGTCATTTCCCTGTTGTGGTTCAAACGCAGCCTCCCTCGTTATTGTACAAAGTTTATTGAGGTATGAATCCCTTTTCTTCTAGTCATAACATGATTTTTTGTGTTTTTCTTGCTCAGTCAAAATTGCTTTCATTGTTGAACTATTATATTAGTCACTTCAGAGAGCAAAATTATCTTGTCTAGCTGTGTTCTGACTATTAAATGTGACCTTATCAGATTTGCATAATGTTATGTGCGGACCATGGTCCCTGTGTATCTGGCGCTCACAACACCATAGTAACTGCAAGGGCAGGAAAAGATTTGGTGTCCAGCCTTGTTTCAGGTATACTATAGAGATTTGTTGGGTTCGTCAAATGAATGATACGATTATCTTTTCACCAATATTGCCAAAATAAATTGGTTTTTGTGGGGGTGGATTTTGTAGTGGACAACTGAAGTAAATGTGCTCTTGAAACAGGTTTGCTAACAATTGGTCCCCGATTTGGTGGGGCTATTGATGATGCTGCCCGATACTTCAAGGACGCTTATGACAGGGTGAGTTCTCATAAGCATTACCTCGGTAAATCAGAAAATACTTGGTGCCTGGCAACACTGATAGCTTTTGGAGTCTAATATGTTCTCATCGTGCCATGTTTTGGCAGGGACTTACACCTTATGAGTTTGTGGAAAGTATGAAAAAGAAGGGCATTCGTGTGCCAGGAATTGGACACAGGTATAGAGCTTCTTTGGCCTTGTTTGGTAATGTTTTCATTTTTTTTTTATGGGAAACCAGAAATGGAAACTTATTTGGTATATAGTTTTTGTTTTCAAAAGAAATGGAATTGATTCCAAAATTCTTAGAAACTAAAAAAAGTGTTTTCACTTGTTTTCAAAGCTAGTTTTCACTCTCCCCTCCCTTCTCAGCACCCACTTCCTCCACTGGCCACCACCAGGCTCCCGCCAATCACCGGCGACACTCTAGCAAGCTCCGACGAGCTCTAGCTACCTTCTGATGACCCTTCGGCAGACTCTGCACAATCATCTGGTCACTACCCCTGAACTCCCGTGACTTTCAACAAAACTCCGGCCACCCGCACTACCGGCAACTCAACCAACATGTTTCTTTAATTTTCTTGTCATTTGTTTTCAAAAATTTTGTATGCACCAGCATTTTTTTGTTTGTTTTTGTTTTTACAAAAAGAAAAAGAAAAAAGGGACAATGTTATCTATTGAGACGTTGACCTTCACAGTAGTCTTCAGATTGTGCACGGCAGCTATGGTGTTTTGTGATTGGAAGTTCATATTTCTGGCATTACTTGTTTATGCTTTCAGACACTGCTAGTCAAATCTGAACTAATAAACTATATATGTCTCTTGTGGGAAAGGATCAAGAGAGGTGACAACAGAGATAAGAGAGTAGAGCTGCTACAACTGTTTGCACGCACTAATTTCCCTTCTGTGAAGTACATGGAATACGCCGTTCAAGTTGAAACCTACACTCTCTCCAAGGCAAACAATCTGGTTCTTAATGTAGATGGTGCGATTGGGTCCCTGTTCTTGGATCTCCTTGCTGGCAGTGGTATGTTCACCAAACAAGAGATTGATGAGATTGTTGAGATCGGTTATCTGAATGGGCTCTTTGTGTTGGCACGCTCCATCGGTTTGATTGGGTGAGTTGAGTTGCTCTTCAAAATCACCTCAAAAAAAGAGAGAATTTAAAAAAAGAAAAGAAAAAAACAAAAACAATGAAAGAATTATTTCTCCATTATTTGACTCGTTGTTTATGGTGTCTACCAAGTTGAGTGGGGATTAGAGGACTCCCCATTTGTGAATGTTCGCGTTTTTCTCATTATCTCTGTGATAATGTTCTCCAACTGATTTGTTCTTTTGGCGAAATTTCAGGCACACCTTTGACCAGAAGAGATTGAAGCAGCCACTATACCGTCACCCATGGGAGGACGTTCTCTACACCAAGTGACGGTTGCGAGATGGCAGCAAGGCAAATGCTTTCCTGGTTCCAACTTTCTCTCAAATTTTTCGCTATGCAATTTGCTGTGGTGATTGTTCAATAGTTAGGGTAGTCCAATGTCTGGTTGAACACCATTTGTTGGTTTATGCGAGAACTCTCCATTATCATTTATATGAAGGAATTAGATTTTTCACCATGAAAGAGTCCTTTTGTTTGTGGTCTAAATGAGAAATAACAGACACATTGTATTAATTAAGTTTATATGGTAAGAGTGATGGCCATTTCTTCTTGTGTGATGAGTAAATTGCGAATTTTGTGCTAAATTTTAGGTGTCTTGGCCTTACATTATGTAAATCCTTTGTTGATTGAAATGGACAAGAGGTAAAAAGGATTTTGGGCCAAGAAATTATAAAAAGTAAAAATAAATAAAAGGAAATTTTATTTAATTACACTAGGAATGGAAACTGCAAAAATAATTGCAAGAACATATTCTCAATTTTTTATTTTTTCATTCTTGTCCCTCCTTTCTCTACCCCCTCTCCCACCATCACCAGACTCTCGTGCTAAAAAGTCTAACCAAAGAGGTTATTCATATTCATTGTTCATATTTATATACTCATGATTTAGATGCAACCATATCAACCATTGAGACAGTTTAAGAAGGGACCTTATAAACCTGCAAACTTGGGAATTTGTGGGCGCTACGGGATTAAATTTTGTGCACGGATAAAAAAATAAAAATAAAAAGTGGTCTGGATCCGGATATAAAAGACGAAGACCTTTTTTTTTCTGTTGTACTTTTCTTGCTTCTATCATCTTCTTCTTCTCTCACCATCAACCCTCACTGGACATAATACCAGAGTCATTGCATTGTGATGTTATTCCTCTTCATGGCTATGTCAACTCTACATATACAAGAAGAGCCTCCCTGCCATGTGATGATGTATATCTATCCTTGTGGGCTACAAAAATGTCTCCATAATTGCACAACTATTTGCCGCATGGCTATTTTGAGTGAAATTGTAATCCCCATGGGTAGGACCAACTACCAAGTTCCTTGAATTTGGATAATAATTCAACCTCTGATTCAAAAAGTGGACCGAGATATACAATCGAAATATTACAAAGTTTTTAAATTTATTTATAGTGACATGATAAAAGTGTTAGAACTAATATAGTTGAGTTTGTGATAAATTAAATGTTAACACGTGATATAATATGTCATTATGGGTAAAATTAAGTGTTTTTTTTTTATTATTATTTATAGAAATTTCAATTTTTTCTAATATATTTAATAAACAGTTGAATTTTTTTTTAAAGGCACAGGAATCATTATATTAGATTTTAAAAAGGAAGTGTCACTATACATTGTTTTTAAAGGGTGCATATCATATGCACAAATTTTTTTCACTATTTTAATTTATAATTTTTATTAATTTGAATTATAATAAAATTAATTTAGTTTATAATAAAAACAACAAAAAGATTCATAATAAAAACCACTTCAATTTATAACAAGACTTCATAAAATCTCAAAACTGAAGTCACTTCATTCACAATCAAACAACAAGAAATCTCAACTTAGAAAAATCAATTTGGGTTACAACCGAAAAAAAAAAAAAAAAAAACACCTACAAACCATCACAAAGCGTTCACCACAAATTTGACCAGTTTAAAACTTTAAGGACCAACATAATTATTAAAAATATTATTAGCCCTCATAATTTATTCAATTTGTATTCAAATGGTCTTTAGGTGTTGTTTGGCAAGTTGGTTTTAGCCACAAAAGACAAAATAAACTATTTTAGCCACAACTAGGGTTGCAAATGAATCGAACTGTTCATGAACAAGCTCGGCTCGGCTCGTTAAGGACTCGGCTCGGCTCGGCTCGTTTAGTAAACGAGCCAAGCTCAAGCTCTAATATTAGGCTCGTTTAGTAAACGAACCGAGCTCGAGCTCGCATAAGCTCGGCTCGTTTATTTTTATTTAAATTATATAATAAATATATTATTTATATATTAAATAATATATAAATATATATAAAAATAATAATATAAATACATTTTTTATATATTAAATAATATAAATAATATTTTTTATTTAAATATTTTTATTTAAATAATATAAATAATATTAAAAAAAAATTATCGAGCCAAGCCGAGCTGAGCTCGAGTTTCATTAAAATTAATGAGCCGAGCCGAGCTCGAGCCCAGTTTCTTATCGAGCCGAGCTCGAACTCGACTCGGCTCAAAACATCACATCTAATCCATAATCATTACATTCTTCTCTCACAAAAAAAGTAAAAAAAGTCAAAAAGTCAAAAAGTCCTTCCCAAATTAAACTTTTTTGCCCAAGCTAAAATAGTCAAAAAAATTAAAAAGTCAAAAAGTCAACCCACTTTCCAAACGGAGGCTTAGTATCATTTGAGTATTGAAATTTAGGCACAATTAGAAAAATAAAAAAAATAATGAAAATAGTATTTATATCGAAATTGAATAAGTAGAACCAAATTATCACAATTAAAATAAGAAAAATATCATTTTTATGGAAAATAGGAAAAATGATATCAAATTAATGAAAAAAACTTTATAACAAATTAAAAGAAAAGTTCAAAAATATATTTCTCCCATTAAAATACCAAAATAAAGGATATACTTGGAGAATCAAAAATGATATTGTACTTATAATTTATTGTTTAAAAAGGTAAAGGGACCTTATTTGTCATGTGGAGTGACGGATTCAAAATTATATCTTTGGAAATTATTCTATAATATAAAAAATTAAAAATTATTTTATATAATTTTAAAATTTTTTATAAAAAATTTGAGGGTGTAAATTTTTATAATTTTAAATTATTTTAAAATTTTTAATATAATATATGATATTTTTAAAATTTTTGAGCGGCCCCTAGCCCCTCTGGATCCCATCATTGGTCATGTGGCTCAACTTGCCCCAAGTATCTGTGCCTACCAATCAAATGCTCTGGTTTTCAAGTGCTTAACGCCATAGCCACATTTATCTTCCAGCTCAGAAAATGAGAAGGAAAGCTCAAGAAAATAGCAAGAAAATCAGAATCCAAAAACCCAGCAAAAAATAAAATAAATAAAACAGAATCAAGCAAGTGAGAGAAAAAGAAATGTGATGTCCCTGAACAAATGATCAACCAAAATCAACTTTTTCTTTGTCTGGCCGCCTTCAATCTCCAAAGGCTATCAAAAGAAAAAGAAAAGAAAAAAACCCTTCTTTAAAACCAAAACACTGTTAATTGTGAGCACACTTTGATCGCTCACACCAGGATCTCTTCTTAGATGTTCCCCATTTGAGAGCAGCACAGAAAATCTGGAATACCCATTTGGGTATTTCTTCATTTACTTTCTAAACCTGACGGATAAACTGAATTTCCCCAAAAAAAGTAGTGAGAAAAGAGCAAGAAAATGGCTTCAGGAAGCAGAGAAGTGCATGCCCATTCAACTCATGATCTCTTTTAGATTTTCCCCATTTTCAGCATAGAAAACGTTAAATACCTGTTAGGGTATTTTTCATTTACTTGCTAAACCCAACTAATACACTGAATTTTCCCGAGAAAGTAGTGAGAAAAGATCACTTTCAACTCATGATATCTTCTTAGATTTCCCCATTTGAGAGCAGCAAAGAAAATCTTGAATACCCATTAGGGTATTTTTCATTTGCTTGCCAAACCCAACTTGTACGCTCAATTTTCCAAAGAAAGTGGTGAAGAGAAGAGCAAGAAAATGTCTTCAGGAAACAGAGAAGTGCATGCTCATCACCACCAAGGTCAAGCTCAAGCTCAAGCTCAGTCTTCAGGTACAAGCAATGTTAGAGACTCTGTAAGCAAAGCCATTGCTCAATACACTGTCGATGCTCGCCTTCACGCCGTGTTTGAACAGTCCGGTGTGTCTGGTAAGTCGTTTGATTACTCACAATCTGTTAGAACAACTACACAATCTGTACCAGAACAACAAATCACAGCTTATTTGTCGAAAATTCAGAGAGGTGGGCATATTCAGCCCTTTGGTTGTATGATTGCTGTTGATGAATCCACTTTCCAAGTCATTGCTTACAGCGAAAATGCCCAAGAAATGCTGGGTCTCACCCCACAATCGGTTCCGAGTCTTGAAAAACCGGAGATACTCACAATTGGGACCGATGTGAGAACACTTTGTACCCCTTCAAGTGCAATTTTGCTTGAAAAAGCATTTGGGGCGCGTGAAATCACGCTGTTGAACCCAATTTGGATTCATTCTAAGAATTCGGGGAAACCCTTTTACGCGATTTTGCATAGGATTGATGTTGGAATTGTGATTGATTTGGAACCTGCTAGAACAGAGGACCCTGCCCTGTCTATTGCTGGGGCTGTGCAGTCCCAGAAGCTCGCAGTGCGAGCGATTTCGCATTTGCAATCGCTTCCCGGTGGGGATAGTAAGCTGTTGTGTGATACAGTGGTTGAGAGTGTGAGAGAGTTAACTGGTTATGACAGGGTTATGGTGTATAAATTTCATGAGGATGAGCATGGTGAGGTTGTGGCTGAGAGTAAGAGGCCGGATTTGGAACCTTATTTTGGGTTACACTATCCCGCCACTGACATTCCTCAGGCATCGAGATTTTTGTTCAAACAAAACCGGGTTAGGATGATTGTGGATTGCCATGCCACATCAGTTCGAGTAATTCAAGACGAAGCGCTTATGCAGCCTTTGTGTCTAGTTGGTTCAACGCTTAGGGCTCCTCACGGTTGCCATGCCCAGTACATGGCTAACATGGGTTCAAAAGCCTCTTTAGCCATGGCGGTTATAATTAATGGAAATGATGATGAAGCTGTTGGGGGACGAAGCTCGATGAGGCTCTGGGGTCTGGTTGTTTGCCATCACACTTCTGCTCGGTCTATTCCCTTCCCTCTCCGTTACGCCTGTGAGTTTCTAATGCAGGCCTTTGGACTCCAATTGAACATGGAATTGCAATTGGCTTCTCAGTTGTTAGAGAAACATGTTTTAAGAACCCAAACCCTGTTGTGTGACATGCTTCTTCGTGACTCGCCTACAGGGATTGTTACTCAGAGCCCTAGTATAATGGACCTTGTGAAGTGTGACGGGGCTGCACTCTACTACCGAGGGAAGTACTATCCGTTAGGCGTGACTCCCACTGAAGCCCAAATAAAGGACATCGTGGAGTGGTTGTTAGCCTTCCATGGGGACTCAACTGGTTTGAGCACCGACAGTTTGGGTGATGCTGGGTACCCTGGTGCAGCTTCGCTTGGTGATGCAGTGTGCGGAATGGCTGTTGCTTATATCACTTCGATGGATTTCTTGTTCTGGTTCCGGTCCCACACAGCAAAAGAGATCAAGTGGGGTGGTGCAAAACATCAGCCGGAGGATAAAGATGATGGGCAGAGAATGCATCCACGTTCTTCCTTCAAGGCATTTCTCGAAGTGGTTAAGAGCCGCAGTTTGCCTTGGGAGAATGCGGAAATGGATGCAATTCATTCTTTGCAGCTAATTCTGCGAGACTCGTTTAAGGATGCTGAGGGAAGCAACTCTAAGGCTGTTGTGCATGCCCCACTTGGGGATTTGGAGTTGCAAGGGATGGATGAGCTCAGCTCCGTTGCACGAGAAATGGTTAGATTGATAGAGACTGCAACTGCTCCCATATTTGCTGTGGACGTTGATGGTCAGATAAATGGTTGGAATGCTAAGGTCGCAGAGTTGACAGGATTATCGGTTGAGGAAGCTATGGGAAAATCTTTGGTTCATGATCTTGTTTATAAGGAATCGGAAGAAACTGTTGACAAGCTTTTATATAATGCTTTGAGAGGTAGTCCTCTTACATTTGATATTTTATTATTTCTTCAACTTCTGGGAATTTGTTAAGGTGATCTTTTTCATATCGCTTGGACATGCAATATTCTATTTTGCTATCTATATGCTGAAAGGCAGAAATGACCTTCAGATGGGAAAGCATGAAGAATTGGAGAAGTACCCCTTCCCCCTTACGGGGGGAAAAAAAAAATTAAAAAAAAAAAAAGGAAAAGAAAAGCGAAGGTTTTATAGCTTGTTTTACCAACATTAACTTTTTTAATTCCAGCTATTCACATTAAAAATATGTCATATTAAGACGTTGCCAAACACCTGCTAATTAGGTACATGAATAACATGATTTGTTTTGCTATCATTTGATTTTAACATGATATATAATACAAAAAACTAGAAGCTAGAATCCAGAAACTTCAAAAGTAAAATTATTAGACCAGTCCATCAAGTAATGTTTCTTTTTAGGTTGACCACAGATTTGAATTTTCCAAAAGAGAGACTTGTAGATGCCTTTGTGTGCTGTTGCTTATCTATAATTTGAAACTGGTCATTTTATGAGCTATGGAACTGGGACAGTGACACAGGCGTTCAGTGTCCAACAGTGATTTGAGTTGCCAGCCATGTCAATCTTGTAGTTGGATAAACTTCAACAGGGTTGTTAGTGTCCAACACATAAATTAGATGAACTTCAAGTCTTCAATGTGGTTGTTAGTATTCAATTCATAAAAAACTACTAAAATATAGGCCACCTTCCATAGTTTAGCAGGTTGCAATACTTAGTGTCCATGCTTAACAATTTTCATATGATATGATGCATAGACGCAAGTGCTTGTTCGCCTCAGTGCTATAGTTTGAGTTCTAGTCAAGTGAATCAACATTTTTGCTAGCAAAAAAAAGAAAAAATGGAGTAAGGTTGCCTACCTACTACCTCTTCCAAGACATCCATACTCTATTGCAAAACCAGAGGCTTGTGCATTGGTTACAACTTTAGACATTGAGGCCAGATGACTTAGTAGTATTGGCTTTAAAAGTGGATCAATGACGTGTATTTTGGCTGGGCTTGTGTATCACTAATTGATAATTTACATTGCGAATGTTTTATCATGATAGTTCAACTGATACAGGTGACGAAGATAAGAATGTAGAAATTAAATTGAAGACATTTGGCTCTGAACAACATAAGAAGGCTGTTTTTGTGGTGGTAAATGCTTGCTCTAGCAAGGATCACACAAACAAAATAGTTGGTGTATGCTTTGTCGGTCAAGATGTTACGGGTCAGAAAGTGGTAATGGACAAGTTCATTCACATACAAGGTGATTACAAGGCTATTATACATAGTCCCAACCCTTTGATCCCACCTATATTTGCTTCGGATGAGAATACATGTTGCTCTGAGTGGAACACCGCCATGGAAAAGCTTACCGGGTGGACCAGAGGGAACATCATTGGGAAGATGTTGGTTGGAGAGATTTTTGGCAGTTGCTGTCGGCTCAAGGGCCCAGATGCTAAGACAAAATTCATGATCGTGTTGCACAATGCGATCGGAGGGCAGGAAACAGACAAGTTCCCATTTGCCTTTTTTGACCGGAATGGAAAATATGTGCAAGCTCTCTTAACGGCAAACAAAAGGGTTAATATGAATGGCCAGATTATTGGAGCCTTTTGTTTCCTCCAAATTCCAAGTCCTGAATTGCAGCAAGCTCTGAAAGTCCAGAGACAACAGGAAAAGAAATGCTTTGTGAGGATGAAAGAGTTGGCTTACATTTGCCAGGAAATAAAGAATCCGTTAAGTGGTATACGCTTTACTAATTTGCTTTTGGAGGCTACAGACTTGAACGATAATCAGAAGCAGTTTCTTGAGACAAGTGCTGCTTGTGAGAAGCAGATGTTGAAGATTATAAGGGATGTTGATCTGGAGATCATTGACGGCGGGTGAGTTTCCCTGAAATTTATATATATGGCTCATTTCTTTGTATTGGATTAGAAAATTTTTAAATTTCTTTACTCACAATTGTGTGATGCCTCTTAGAATCCCAACGTACTATCTCTTCTTGTGGTTTTAAATTTTTAATCAATAGGTTGTATTTCTTTTTTCTTTTTCTTTTTTTGTTGCATTTTACAATGTGCTTTTGGACTGCCACCAACACAAAGCTGTTCTTCCAAAATATGATATGAACTTGTTGTGTTGTTCAATGAGTCCTTGTTTTGATCTATAAGAGAACTAAATTCCTCGTATGGATAAAATTTTGTCATTGTCTATTCGATTTCTTGCATTGTTCTCTTGAGTGTTCAATTATTTACACAATGGTTTAGATCTTATGGATATAATTATCTTGTTCAACTGTCATGAATTATTTTGCTAATGGCAAAGTCACAGTCTAATTTTGTAACTGTCTTCTGGTTGTAGTTCGTTGGAGCTTGAGAAGGCTGAATTCTTAGTTGGGAGTGTGATAGACGCTGTTGTTAGCCAAGTAATGATATTACTTATTCAAGAGGTCTACAATTGATCCGCGATATTCCAGAGGAAATCAAAACCTTGACTGTTTATGGTGATCAACTGAGAATTCAACAGGTCTTAGCTGATTGCTTATTGAATATGGTGCGTTATGCACCTTCTCCAGAAGGTTGGGTAGAGATTCATGTTCGACCAAGACTAAAGCAAATTTCTGATGATATAACTATTCTACATATTGAATTCAGGTATGCCAGCTTCACATTTCTTTTAATATCATTTGTAAATGCTGTGTTGACTGTTGAGAGAAATTCTTTGGAAGTTGTTAGCTCTTCTCTGATTTTATGACACTGCAATTAATTTTTAGGGCAAATTACACTATTAACCCTCAAACTTCCATTCAAATTTCACTTTGATCCCTCATCTCTTAATTTTAACAGTTGAAATGCTAGGAAATTTTTATTTTCTTCTATTGCATTGTATTAGCCTTAGGAGTGACCACTGGTTCGGTGATTAAAAAACCTTAGCCTATTAACCATGAGATTATGGATTCAAGTATGAGAACAACCACTTTGTGCTTTTATGCCGAAGGTTAGGTTGTACCCAATCTAACCCCTCCCTAACACACCTTAATGGGTGTACTCAAGGTTTTAAAAAGCGGCCGCAACCGTTACGTAACGCAGTTACGTAACGGTTTTGGCGGTTACCGCCACCCATTACAGCCGCTTTTGCAGTGTGATTGAGGTTCACAGGTGTGTCGGCCGTAGCGACTACCGTAACGGTCGTAACGGTGCCGTAACAGCCGTAACGGCCTGTTACGCACTATTACATAACAATTCCAAACTGTTTCTTTCGAAAAAACACAAAAAAAAAACTGAAAATGGGGGAAGAGGGATAGAGAGAAGAGGGAAGATAAAGAGAGAAAATGGAGGAGCAAGAGATAGAGAGAGAGAAGAGGGAAGATGAAGAACATGTTATTGATTTGTTGAAGTTGTAAGACCTATGTTATTCTATTCAGCTGCTATCACTCAACCATTTTGTTTGTTTGTGTCTATCTATGTATTGTTTGAAAATAATAATAATAATGAGTATGGTCATTTTCTATTTGGGTTAGTTAAAATATGTATATATATATATTTAGGCTCTTATTTATTCTCTTACTTTTTTCATTGTTTATCTTATATATAATAGCTAGTAATTGATTTTTGGTATAATATAAAGTCATTAATTATTAAAATAAAATAAAAAAAACTCAGTTTATAGTGATTTAAAAATGTGAAATATATTGGATCATACTTAAAAATTTACAAAAATTGATCAATATTTATTTTTAATCCAATAAATATGATCATGGAAAAAAAATATGCGTATCGGTAAGTTTGTTTCAAATTGTGCGAAAAATAAAAAAATTCACGGTTCCTGTTACCGCAACCGTTACACTACGGCCCTTACACCCCGCAACTGCAACCGCGCCACCGCCACCGTTACGGCGACCGCAACCGCTTTTTAGAACCTTGGGTGTACTAATTGGGCTTCTTTTTTTTTTTTTCTTGTACAATTTTTTTTTATTGTTGTATTAACCTTGTTTTTTCTTCAATTGAGATGTGCAAAAAACCAAATCCAGAAGGTACCTCGCAGCCAATTTATCATCTCCAGGGTGATGAAAAGCCAAGAGCTTCGCCGTATAGTCATGTAAAATCATATAAACAACTGTGGAGGTTTCAAGCCATATCAGAAACATAATGAAGTTTCTGAACAAGAAAAACTTAGAAATTATTGGTTGTTTTGCCAAAGGTTGTTACAAGTTGTGATGGGATCAATAATTGGGATTATTGAACTTTCCATTACGGTAGAGCTTACTAATAGACTTTTGCCCCTTGGTCCAATACGTACATATTTAGAGCATGTTGAAAGATTTGCTGTCATTTGTTTAAGTCATAGATGTCATCTTATATTAGCTGATACATATCGGAATTTTGGACTTCCGATACCTATTTCTCCCATATATTGTCTGATACTGTCAGATATCGACCGATATATGACCGTATTGCCAATACCGATATGCATCCCAATACTGTTGTTTAAAACCATGGTTGATGGTGAACTTTATGTTCTATGCTTCCTTGCCGTTCTTGAATCTTTGTTCTGAAAAAATGCTTGAATTTTGAATCTTGCCAATCTTGCTTTTGATGAGTGTTAGCTTTCCTCACTAAAGATTTTACCCCGTCTAGGCCCGAATCACTTCTCGAACCTTTTCCCTTACATCATCCCATTCTGCTGTAGATTTGAAAGAAGAACCGAGAGGGCGACTAACATATTTTGAGGGTAGATTAGCCTTTTCTCTTTCTATTCCTCTTCGTATGTATATATATTCTTCTCTTTTCCATTTTGTATTTTATGATTCAGATTAATGAAAACTTCTGTCTGAAATCTATTTATTTACTCACAGATTGCTTTCCTTGAAATCTGTTCATGTTCTCACATGTATCAACTTGATCAGCCGATTCTGAAATCTATTTATTTGTTTTGTTTTCAACATTCAATTGGTGTTCCTCTTTATATAAAGATGGACAAGTCAAACCAATTAGAAATTCCATGGTTCTGAAGTCAATTCTGTTTTTTATTTTCCGAGACATTATACTTATTGATGTGATAAAGGAACTAATTACTCCTTAATTAATATCTATGTTTCTGCTGAAGGATTGTCTGCCCCGGTGAAGGTCTTCCACCTGAACTCGTTCAAGACATGTTTCATAGTAGTCGATGGATGACTCAAGAAGGCCTAGGGCTAAGCATGTGCAGAAAGATTTTAAAGCTCATGAACAGTGAAGTCCAATACATTAGAGAGTCGGAAAGATGCTATTTTCTAATAATCCTCGAACTTCCCATGCCTAAGCAAGACTCCAAGAGCGTTGACTAGCTTATTGCCGCCATTAAAATCTCACCTGAGTTGGAACCTTTCAACAGGAGAAGACATCATAATTACCCTTATCTTCACAGATTGTTTTCATGAAAGCAAATGTCAAGGTCCACTTAAGCTAAAGCCGCCCAAATCTACTAATGGGTGTTCAGTAATACTAATTATCTTTCATTTCTCGCCATTTTGGACTGTCATTTGAGCCTGCCTAATTCCAAAACCTGTTCAAGATTCCATGATACTATGACACAAAGTAACGGTTATTTTTCTACTCTGAACACAATGTTGGGTTGTACTAGATCAGCCAGATTGTTCATATGTACTCGCACGAGCATTAAATTGAGGACCGAGAGCTTGTTAGTTGGGATGATTATGAGCTGCGATGGCTTGAAGACGGTTGACAGGGTCTGCAAATGCGATTAGGTGGCATCATTCTAACCTGTAAGCATGTCTACTACTTCGACTTTGTAGTTTTTGTAAAAATTTATTGTCTAGTTTCATAGACAATTGTATAATAAAATAACTACTGCTTTAGGGATGCTTCCCTCAAAAGCTCATTTTTACCAAAAAAAACACAAAAATAACTGTGTAACAAAGTTGTCTTGCTCTAGTTGTTGAAACTTGTGGAATATGATAATTCTGACAATCTGATTTGTATAATCTTTTGTTTGTTCTCTCTCTCTGGATTTATCACTACTTGCTCAACTACTCTTGCATGGTACAGAGTTTTATAACACACACTCAGACAGTCTCTCTCTCTCTCTCTCTCTCTCTCTCTCTCTGTGTTTAGATTTGTCACTTTTTGCTCATTTTTTTGTGACTTTGCTTATGACTTATAAGGTGCTTATTGATAAATCATCTTTTTATTATTTTTTACATTATTTTTCGTAATGAGTGAAAAAAATTAATTAATAAATCATACTTAAAATAATTTTGCATGATATTGAGCAAGTAGCTTAAAAAGCTTTTCTTTCTAGTTTTTTTTTTTTTTTAAACATTTTTTCATAAAAAATAATAAAAAAAATCAATTAAAATATTTAGTTTTTAGGATAAATTATACTAACAATCCTTATAGTTTGGGACTCATGTTGCTTTGGTCATGACTTTTCAATTGTGACATATTTGACATTAAATTTTGAATTTTGTTTTAAATAAAGACAATTGAAGATACCATTACTTAATTTCAATGATAAAATTGGCAATTTGATTAAAAAAAAAAATTAATTTGACAAAAATAAATGTCAAAAAAATATTTTTAAATTTTTTAAAAAAATTTCTATCAACTAAAGATAAAATTATATAAAATTGATAAGTCTTTTTAGACATTTATTTATTTTACCAAATTAATTTCTATTATGTATTTGGATGATGATCATGTAATGTAATTGTTAAGATTTTAATGTGTTGTCGATATATTTAATATATGAAATATTTTTAGTTTTGAATTTTTTGATTTAATGAATTGATTTAATAATGATATCAAAGTTGTCATATTTGACTTTTAGAAAAATAGAACTAAATTATTGAAAAAAAATAACTATCCATTATATAATCATCATCCAAACACATAATAAAAATTAATTTGATAAAAATAAATAAATAATGTCTAAAAGATTTATCAATTTTACATAATTTTATCTTTAGTGGGTATAAATAATTTTAGAAAATTTAAAAATATTTTCTTGACATTTATTTTTATCAAATTAGTTTATATTTTATCAAATTGACAATTTTACTCTTGAAATTAAACAATGATATCTTCAAATGTCCTTATTTGGAATAAGATTTAAAATTTAACGTCAAATATGTCACAATTAAAAATTCAAAAAATAAAGTAATATAAGTTTCAAACTATAGGGACCGTTAGTATAATTCATCCTAACTTTTAAAACAATTTAAAATCAATAAGTTGGCTTATTTTTCAACTTATTACTTTAACGAGCTTTATTTTTTATAAAATTTTGAGCCAAATTTTTAAAATTTTTAGAACGATTCTAAATATACAAGTCATTTTTTGTTTAAAAAATTGATTTGTTTTTATTTTTAGTAGATTTTTTAAAATATATATTAATTTTAGAAGTATCTAATGGTTAGATTTGATGATAGGTAGTGGGGGGTGGTCAAGCAAGAGGAGGTGATCAAAGTATCATAAAAAATCAAGGGAGGAAGAATAGAGGATAATTAGAGCCACTAATATTGTGTTTGGTTAAGAAATTTAAGAAGTGATTTGAAAAGAAAAATAAAAAAATTAGGTGAAATATAAATAAAATATACTTATATTTTACTTAATTTTACATTTTTTTTTTCTTTTTCTTTTCAAATCTCCCTCTAAACCTTTCAACTAAACAGAGCATAAAGGTTACGCGAGAGGGATCAGAGAGTCATTAATGTTCACTTGAAAGGTAATGAGAGGTCACCAGAGATTGGCCAAAGTGGTGTATGGTTTGAGAAAGCAATAGGTGGTCTATTGAGGCAAGTAGAGTTATTAGTGCATGCTCTGTCCATTTAATCAATTTATGTTCCGTTTGGCAAGAGTTAAACGGGTTTTTTTAATTATTTTAGTCATAAAAAATAAAATAAGTTATTTTAACCATAAAAAATAAAATATCACATCTAACTCATAATCATTACATTCTTCTCTCACAAAAAAATCTAAAAAAGACAAAAAGTCAAAAAGTCATTCTCAAACCAAACTTTTTAGCCCAAACTAAATAGCCAAAAAAGTTAAAAAGCCAAAAAGCCAACCCACTTCCCAAACGGAAGCAAAATATACAAGTCAAATTTTGTTTAAAAAATTGATTTGTTTTTATTTTTAGTAGATTTTTTAAAATATATATTAATTTTAGAAGTATCTAATGGTTAGATTTGATGATACGTAGTGGGAGGTGGTCAAGCAAGAGGAGGTGATCAAAGTATCATAAAAAATCAAGGGAGGAAGAACAGAGGATAATTAGAGCCACTAATATTGTGTTTGGTTAAGAAATTTAAGAAGTGATTTGAAAATAAAAATAAAAAAAATTAGGTAAAATATAAATTAAATATACCTATATTTTATTTAATTTTACATTTTTTTTTTCTTTTTCTTTTCAAATCTCTCTCTACCTTTCAACTAAATACAGCATAAAGGTTACGCGAGAGGGATCGGAGAGTCATTAATGTTCACTTGAAAGGTAATGAGAGGTCACCAGAGATTGGTCAAAGTGGTGTAAATAGTGAGGGGATTAGAAATTTTTTTATTTTTTATATATTGAGAATTTTTTTAAAAATATTAATGGTTAATTTTTTATATTTTTTTATTTGTTTTATTAGTTTATATAAAAATAATTTAATAATTCTTCACTATTAATCCCATCACTATTAATTCTCTCACTATTAATCTCCTCACTATGAATCCTCTCCATTCTATCTCTGAAAACAAACGGGCATAGTGGATTAATTGATTGCAGCAAGTTCAAATTATATCTATAACCTATATAAAAAGCATGTAACAGTGGTATAAGGCTGCTGCTTGCTTGGTTTGGTTTCTAATTCGAACACTTTGCTTGCAGATTCTCGTGGCTCCAAGATTGGTGCTCCTGCTGCTTGCCATTTTCCAAAGCTCTTCCCTGCACATTTTTGGTTACACATGTGGGATTCAAATCATCCACATAAACAATAGAAGAAGAAAACAAATTTCACCACTTCGAGGGGCAAATCTCACCGATTCACACCTTTAACTCATACATATCACCTGTAATTTCGAACAGTGGAATTTTCATGATGATGCCTGGGTTTTGTTTTTTATGGCATGTGTTTCTGCAGCAAATATTGAATTTCTCACAATACATATATATCTTCTGGATGGAATTACTATTACACTGTTCTTCCCATCCATTGTTGCTGCCGTAACACAACATTTAACTGCACTGTTTTCATTCCTGGATATATGTTTAATAGATGCACACCAAGTGTTTGTCAACCTGTCTGAAAGAAAAACAAAACGTTCATTAACGCTGTGTTCACCACATGTTCGATTATATGCTCAAATGAGAAATCCATCACAATTTCACTTTCAATACCTTTGTCTTCTAAAGATTTTTCAGTAGTTTCATTGTACTTTATATATTTGCATTCAACTTTGCTGTTTAAATCTTCCCTATGTTCTTTTAACATATTCAACTGTCAACAATGGTAGAATTTATCCCACATTTTCCAAACTTATAAAGGTTTCAAGATGGTATGTTTGGTTTGTATTTTGAGATAAATTTTTTTAAAAAAGGAAGATTTGGGAGAGAGTTTAGAAATTTTTTTGATTTGTTTGGTTATATATTTTGAAAAAAGTTTTGGAGTTTGAGATTATTTGATATTTTATTGTAGTTGCGTAGATATGTGTGAAAGAAAAAGTGCTTGAAAAGAAGAGAGGAGAGAGAAACAGTGATTGATTAATGTATAATAGAAAAAAGCAATTTTAGAATTTTTTTAAGAAAATTTGTAACCAAACATTTTTTTGAATTTTTTTTTTTGGAAAGTATGTTTCAAAACACAAACCAAACACACCAGCCTTTACTTTATATGATAGTAGAGAATTTTATTTATTTATTGAGGTGCTGCTGTGTATGGTAATGAGAAATTCTCAAGCTGGCCTTCAATGATATTGCCGCTGTATTTATGTCTTTGACCTTGGCCAATTAAAAGGGGCACAATTACCCAAGCCTATTTGTATGGAACCTTGTTGGACTAGACGAAGGTCCCCACTCTAAAGTGGACTCTCTCTCTCCACTTTATGATGGGCCGAGCTAAGGGATCAGTCTTGGCCCACTCCCCACTCCGAAGAGGAGAAGACCATGGGCCTGGCCCTAGCACCCTTTTCCACTCTGAAGTGAGTAAGTCCATAATTTGGGCTCCAAGGCTCCCACTCCACGACACATGAGTGCTAACAGATCAACCAATACCATGTAAAGTAAAAGGCACGTGGTGCCCGCGAATGACGAAACTTGCTCCCCTTTATTAAGGGATGTGCTACCATCACGGCTGAGGACCAGGCGGAGAACGATGGAGCTTGATGAATAAGTCATACGATTCTTATAAAAGGTAACCTTACTCTCCTTGAAATGGGGAGATCTCTTGACTCTAGAAACAGATTGGTCTTCTCTATCTTGTCTCTACCAAACTCCGGTATTAACTCGACCGTCGGAGGGGTTCCGACCAATCCCCGATCGGGCAGCCTAACCATTTGTTCCTTGTGCAGGCCTTCACCCATCGATGCACTAGGGTTCGTCCACGAAGTTCCATCTTACGCTATTGCGGAAACTAGTCCGCATATTGGGCGCCGTTTGTGGGAATCGTTCTCTAATTGCTTTGTGACGAACTCTGACGATGGATATTGAAGGAACCTCGCAACCTGGGATAGGAGAGAAGACTCCAGGAACGGAGAGAACCAAAGACAAGGGTCTGGCATTCTCTACCGGGAACGACAACCTGATGGACTACGACAGTCCGACCCTCCATACGGTGGAGCGACGTCATGTCGCCGCCTATCAGTCATCTCAACAACTGTTTGTTGAGAAGGACCACCGTGATCGTGTCATCGACTCGATAAGTCTAGAGATTGAGAAGCTACGTGCTCAACTGAGGAAGCAAATGGTACCTTAGGGTGAGCCAAGGAAGTCCGGAGGGGGACCGTAGCAGCAACGGAGGCACACTTCTCCATCGCCTCCACGACGTGAACGGTCTAACTTCGGTCCTGCTCGTGGTGAGCGTAGCCGGCCGATTTCGGTATGCAGTGAGGGAGCTAGTAGTAGGATAGAGAATCCCCGAGAAGACTCTCACAAGAGACAAAAGTCCATCAGTCATTATTCAGCAATCTCTCCTCCTTCGCGCCGTCGTGACGAGCGACTGTGTGACTTGAGGACATGGTTGAACAACAACCAAAGGGATGACCGACGGTCGAACAAAGTAGCAGAACGGCGATTAGAAAAGGGAAAATGAGTATCTAGATCGGTCCGTTCATTAGATAGATAAAGCGTCGTGCTCTAGACCGACTAGTCTCTTCCCCCCTTTGCCTTGAGATTGAAGCTGTGGAAGCTCTTCATAAGTACAGTCCACCGAAATTCATCCTCTATGATGGGAAGTTAGACCCCCTGACTCATATCAGCCATTACCGCCAAATGATGTCACTTTGGAATCAGAACGATGCGTTCATGTGCAAGGTTTTTGCCTCTAGCCTTGGTGAGCACGGCCTATGGTGGTATAACAAGCTTCCTCCTCAATCGATTTATGATTGGGCTTAGCTCTCCGAAGCTTTCCTCGCACGGTTTGTTTCTAATAGTCGAATCCCGAAAGGATTGGATACCTTGTTCAATACTCAGCAGGATAAAAAGAAGTCTTTGTGCGAATACGGTCGGCAATATTGGGAGGCATATGGCGATTTGGAAGAAGATGTTTGTAGTGAGCCGTTGGCAGCTCTATACTTCAAACAAGGCCTCTCCCCTTCACATAAGCTCAGGAAGTCATTGACAAAACGACCCACTTCTGACTTGAAAGAGCTGAGGGCTCGAATATAAGAGCGAGCCTGTGTGGAAGATGACACAGCCTCTATACAAGTGTCAGTTGCAAATGAGGGAGTTAAGGCCTCTTGGCAACATAGGGCCGAACAGCCTAGGAGGGAGGACCAAAAAAGGAGGTATGGCCAAAATAAGCAACCGACCATGCAAACCGAAGAAGAAAGGAGTAGATCCCACGAAGCCATAACCACTGTGTTCACGGAGCCGATCTACAGGCTCTTGGAAAAAATCAAAGAAGAACCCTACTTCATTTGGCCTCCTAAGATGATGGGGAACCCTGCTCGGCGCAACCAGGAGTGACGGTGCACCTACCATCGTAAGAAAGGGCATAAGACGCAGAACTGTAGAGACCTTAAGAGGCATCTCGAAGACTTGGTCACTGTCAGCCACCTCCAGCAATAGATCAATATGGAAAGGACAAGGGCAAAACAGGGGCAACCCCCAACCTCTCCACTAGAGGACCAAGCGCTACTGAACAACTGAAATACTGATTGAATTGATCTGTTTTCATTACTGTAAGGACATTCATTCTAAACCTCTTTACGCTTTATGTTATTCACTGGGCTTTAGCTCACTGCTCATATATATATGTAGGTGTACAGGCACCAGATCGGAGCTAGGAGCGTCAGGGTAACTCCAGTTTTGTCAAGCCAGCCTATGTGCCTCACTGCGAGGTTCCGAGCCTATCTGCTAAGGCTTAGGGGTGTTTTAAGAATTTCCCCTTCTGTACTGTTTCACTGTGTTGTATAGACTTACTGTTCACTGTACTGCTATCTAGGGTAGAGTCCCTAGTTTGAATGAATGTAAATATTGTGCATACTGTTCTGTACTGTTTGTGTATAAATGTATGAAAAATCTTTTTGGAGAACTGTAGAGACCTTAAGAGGCATCTCGAAGACTTGGTCACTGTCAGCCACCTCCAGCAATAGATCAATATGGAAAGGACAAGGGCAAAACAGGGGCAACCCCCAACCTCTCCACTAGAGGACCAAGCGCCAAGGCTAGTGATAAACGTCATCCATGGGATGACCGACCCCCAAAGGGAGAATGCCTTTCGTGGCGAGATTCAGAGAGCTACGCACTTGCAACAAGTCATGTCAGTAAGACCATTACTCAAGAAGTCCAGAACGGAAGCAAAGCGTTCTCAGTTTGACATTGTGTTCTCCGAGAAAGATCTGGAAGGGATCCAACATCCTCACATTGATGCCCTGACCGTCACCATCAGTGTGGTGAACAAATTTGATGTGAAACGGGTCCTAATTGATCAAAGGAGTGCCGCTGACATTATGTATTATGACCTTTTCAAAAAACTGGGTCTTGATGAGCAACATTTAATCCCTACAGTCTCCCCTTTGGTCGGTTTCAATGGACAGACAGAGTGGCTGCTCGGCCGGATCACCTTGTCCGTCACAGCAAAGTCCAAAGTGGTCCCTGTCGACTCTTTGGTGATCAACACTTCATCTCCTTACAATACAATCCTCGGTTGACCTTGGATTCATACAATGGAGGCGGTGCCATCCATTTACCACCAGGTAGTCCGTTTCCCAACAAAGAATAGGGTGGAGAAGATCAGGGGTGACCAAATAGCGGCAAAGCACTGTTTCATCACCGCCATGAAGTCTAAACAAGTATGCAAGGAAGTCCAGATGGTTGAACTGCCTGATCAGCCTGTACTGGAAAATGTTGGTAGAATACTAACAGAGAAGATGGTGGAGGACCTCAAAACGATCTTGGTCGATAGAGGAGATCCAGACAAGTTCTTTCTGCTCGGCACTTCGCTTCTCACCGAAGAGAATGAGCAGTTGTTAGTTCTCCTCCGCAAGGATATCAAAGTATTTGCCTGGTTTACTTATGAGACTCCTGGGTTGGACCCAACCTTTGCATGTGACCAACTTAATGTCCAACCAGTAGCTCGGCCCGTAGTCCAAAAGAGTAGATGATCATCCGTAGAACACACGGAAGCAGTTATCCAAGAGGTAAACAAGCTTCTGGCGATAGGGGTTATACGGGAGGTACAATATCCGAAATGGTTGTCTAACACTGTTGTGGTGAAGAAAAAGAACGGGAAATGGAGGGTATGCGTCGACTTCACCAGCCTCAACAAAGCTTGTCCTAAGGACAGCTTTCCTCTCCCACGAATAGACCAACTAGTAGATACAACTGTCGGACATGAACGGATGAGCTTCTTGGATGCCTACAGTGGCTATCATCAAATCCTCCTATTTGGCCCTGACTAGGAGAAGACAGCATTCATTAGCCCAAGGGGCACCTATTACTACAAAGTGATGCCCTTCAGCCTGAAGAACGCCGGTACGACCTATTAACGGATGGTCACTAAAATGTTCAAGGACCAACTAGATGACATGGTGATCAAAAGTAAATTGGCCGAACATCATCTGAGAGACTTGGAGGAAGTGTTCCAAATCCTGAAGACCCACAAGCTTCGCCTGAATGCCTCGAAATGTGCATCCGGAGTAAGTTCAAGGAAGTTCTTGGGATATATGGTGACCAGGCAAGGCATCGAAGTCAACCCCAACCAGATTAAAGCCCTCCAAGACATTGAGGCACCTACGAAGGCTAGGGAACTCCAAAAGCTCATTGGTATGGCCGCAGCATTGAATCGTTTCTTCCGATCGAATGAGACCCTTCTTCCAACTCCTAAGGAAAAAGGTAGACTTCGAATGGGGTGACTAGTGCTCTGAAGCACTCATAGAGTTGAAGACGTATCTTTCTTCCCCTCCTCTTTTGTCTACTCTAATCCCCAACAAAGTGCTCTTTCTTTACTTGGTTGTCTCCGATCACGCTGTGAGTGTAGTCTTGATTAGAGAGGAATGGAAGGAACAAAAGCCAGTATACTACGTTAGCAAAGCCCTCTTGGATGTCAAAACTAGATACCTGCCACTAGAGAAGCTGGCATACGCCCTACTAATTGCCTCTAGGAAGCTTGCTCACTACTTCCAAGGACACATTATCAATGTCCTCACAAAGTACCCTCTAAAGTTTGTGTTCAGCCGACTTGATTTCTCGGGTCGGACAACGAAGTGGGCAGTAGAATTGGGCGAGTTTGACATTAAATTCCAACCGCAGATTTCTATCAAAGCTCAAGTGTTAGCAGACTTCGTAGCTGAATTCACTCCAGGACCGACTGGCCTCTCCGAAGGGAGCTCGGCCTTAGCAACCGAAATCCGCAACACTCAACAAACCCCCGCCGAGGTATGGAAACTTTTCATTGGAGACGTTTGGCAGCTGTTCGTTGATGGATCCTCCAACCAAAAGGGTTCTGGACCGAGAATGGTCCTTATTTCACCAAAGGGGTTTGTTTGGGAGCAAGCTGTCAAATTGGGATGGAAAGCTTCCAACAACGAAGCAAAGTACGAGGCTCTGCTAGCTAGTCTACGCAACGCTGAACACTTTAATGTAGAGGAGTTGCTCGTTTATAGCGACTCCCAACTTGTGGTGAACCAATTGACTGGAGTATACGAAACTCGCGATGACCGGATGATATCCTATGCAGAACAAGCCAAGCACCTGATCCGCAAATTTCAAGCTATTAGGGTTGTGAAAATTGGCTGTGATGGAAATAGCCACGCCGATGCCTTACCCTGTCTTGGCTCTTCGGTGGACTCCAGAAATGGTCGCAAGATATAGGTCGAATTTGTTCCTCAACCGACTGTCGATCCACCCAGCTCGGTCCTCTGTACTGACCTCGATCCTAGCTGGATGGACCCACTCCTTGCCTTCTTAAAAAATGGTGCCCTTCCAGATAACAAGAAAGAAGCACATAAAACAAGGCACCGAGCTGCGTGATTTTGGGTCTCACCTTCGGGCAAGCTCTACAAAAAGTCTTACCTTGGTCCATATCTTCTTTGTGTTCACCCCAATCTTGTGGAGAACTTTCTTTATGAAATCCACAAGGGGATCTGTGGCAATCACACTGGAGGTTAGTTCTTGGCACACCGAGCTCTCACTTATGGGTACTGGTGGCCGCGTATGTAGAAAGACGCTCAACAGTATGTCCAAAAATGCGACAAGTGTCAAAGGTTTGCCCCACTCATTCATAAACCAGCCAAGAACTTAACTCCTCTCATCAGTCCATGGCCATTTGCACAATGGGGTCTGGACATCGTTGGACCTCTTGCAAGGGGTACTATTAACAAAAGGTTCTTCATTGCTGCTACTGACTATTTCACTAAGTAGGTGGAGATTGAAGCCTTAGCAAGCATAAAAGAAGCTGACATGAACAGGTTCGTTTGGAGGAGTGTCAGTTTGGCATCCCAAAGGCTCTACTATCTGACAATGGCACCCAGTTAGATGAAAAGGTTTTCAGGAAGTTCTGTTCTGACTTAAAAATTGAGTTTCGAAATTCTACTCCAGTCTACCCTCAAGGCAATGGTCAAGCTGAAGCGTCTAACAAGACGGTTACCAATGGGATAAAGAAGTAGCTGGAGAAGGCCAAAGGCAAATGGGTGGAAGAACTGCCAAACGTTCTGTGGGCTTACAAAACAACACCAGGGCGATCAACAGGGGAGACGCCTTACTCTCTCATTTATGAGATGGAGGCATCATCCCCTTGGAGGTCGGCCTTCCCACTATTCGGTCTGAAATCTTTGATCCAGCAAACAATGATGAGGCTATCGCCCAAGCTCTTGACCTGACCGAGGAGCGCAAAGAGGCCGCGTTCATTCATCTGGCAGCATACCAGCAACAACTTACTAGAAATTTTAATAAAAATGTGCTAATTCATCAATTTCTACCTGGAGATCTAGTGCTAAAGAAGGTCATGGATCACAAGAAGGCCCCTGGTGAAGGAAGCTCGGCCCTAACTAGGAAGGGCGTTATAGAGTTACCTCTGCCTTAGGCAACAGAGCTTACTACCTAACTGACCTAGCAGGCAAACCCATTCCTCATCCTTGGAATGTTGCCAACTTGAAAAAATACTATCAGTAATGTAATGATCTAAACAACTTTTTGAATATAATCGCAATTCTCGAAGTATTAATGAAATCACCTTTTCCCTATGAATTATGTTCTTCTTCATATGTGTCGTACATATTTTCGCTCGACAATTGAGCAAGAACGGGTTATAGGTCTTAACCTATGCCCCAACCTGCAAACTCGGCCCTTTGGTTGGAGTAGGACGCCAAGTGGTATAGCTTGGTGGAATTTGTGCCAAGTATGGTTACTTGAAAGCATGGTCCATGGTAACAACTCGCGCTCAACGAAGAGTTGAGTTACACTTTACGATGAGTTAAGCTTGACCGAATCAAATAAAAACCGAGCAACGAAATACTCGGCCGAATCCAATTAGACATTTTTAAGACACAAAGCCTGGTCTGCCCGATTAGACGCCCTATATAGGCTCGGAGCCTCTATTCGGCTGGGGGCATGGAAAGTTCTTTCTTCCAATTTTTTTAAGGCACAAAGCCTATTTTGCCTGAATAGACGGTCTGCTCACGAAGCCTCTGCTTGGCGGGGGGGCATGGAAAATTCGTTCCTCAAATTTTTCTAAGGCACAAAGCCTAGTTTTACCGAACAAATGTCCTCCTTCCCTACGGTGCCTTTACTCGGCTGGGGGGCATGAAAAGTTCTTTCTTCCAATTTTTCTACGACATAGAGCCTAGTTAGACCAAATAGGCGGCCTTCTTCTCTAGAGAGCCCCTGCTCGACATAACACATGCAAGCAAAAATTAAAAATTGAAGTTCAAGACATACAAAAATTCAACAAAGCATGGCATTACTATAAAGCATCCATTACAAAAAAAAAAAAGAACTCGGCTTTACAAAATGACGATGTCTAACTAGCCGAACTCTAACACTTGCACAAAAAAAAAAAAAAAAAAAAGGATTTTCGCTTTCCTTGCTTGATTTTCAAATTTTCTTAGGGTGACGGTCGCACGCTGGCTTCACTTACTTAACTCACCCGCCGAACTTTTCCTCTTTTTGTCGTCTTGGGGGACCTTTGAAGGCCCTGCCCCAGTACTTCTGCCGAGAGAGTCGGCTCCCCGCCGACCATCAAAGGCAAAGTACGAAGGCGTTCCAAATCTGGCCATAGAGGTGGTCTGCCGTTTTAGTTCTTTGTTCTCCGCCTTCAGCGCACAAATCTCTGCTCGCATATCCTTGTATATGCGCTAGAGCAGAGAGAGTTGGGTGTTGACCTGGTGTACTTCACTCGTCCTGGTCTGCAGTCGGTAAGCCAATTTGGAGACTGCAGTCACCGTATCCATACAGGACTTCAACGTGAAATGGTTGGCTTCAATGTCAGATTGAGCAGCCATTATTTGCTTAATCGGCAGCATAGGAAGGTTAGAAGGAGGAATAATAAGAAGAGTAGGAGCAGGGACACTCGGTCCAGCAGAGCTTATGGGATCATTCAGGTCTGGAAAGAGAGTGAAAGGATAGGATGAGGCCATGTGTTAGAGACAGGAGAGTTGCATACATATATGTATATTTATTGCATAGCTATGTACTATATATATTTGTCTGAATA